TTTTGCCTTCAAGTCATGTTTCTGAATTATGGTGACTCTAAGGCAACCCTATCCTGGGGTTTTCTTGGCAAGATTGGTTCGGAGGAGGTTAGTCATTGCCTCCTCCCAGGGCTGAGAGTGTGTGACTTGTCCCAGTGGATTTCCATGGTTTCCATTCAAATCCTGGCCTCCAATGTTGTAGTTCAATACAAACCACTACACCATGCTGGCTCTCAGAACCAGGGTCCTCCAAGATAATATTTGGAGGGCTGAGGACCATGAGACTACCTTGCACAGCCCCGAAGCCATTTTATCTCAACGTTTAGCTAGATCCTCCATTGCAGACCAGTTGTCTTCCATTCTCTGGTTTAGGCCTTAGCCTCTTTCTCCAAAAACATTTCACGTATACTCTTAACCTGTCGTTGGCTCTACTGCAAATTCTTTCTGTCTGTTAAGAAATCGCCTTCCAATTGGAATTCTTCCGCTCGGCGACGATCACGCAGACATCCGGCAGAATTTATTTAACCTTCAGCCAACTGCTCAACCAAGTTGAAATTATTGATAGCCCATCAGTAATAATCAAGATGGAGAGGTTAAATGGAGTGGTGCCCCCCCTTTCCTCCATATATATATATATATATATATATATATATATATATATATGAGAGCCATTGAACTGGTAACAGGACTGGAAATGCCATCTCAGCTTGGAGAACGCAGTCGAGGAACTCAGCTGCAAGTGGGGAATAAAACTGTTAAGCGATGGCCGCTCTCCAATCAGTCACAGGGGTAATGAAGTTTGGCTTTAGTCAGGTTACATGTCAGCAAATATACATCTCACCGACAGCCTCTAAGAGACCCTTAAGATTCTGCTTATTGTTTTATATAGATAGGGGTTGGCTGCTGATAGATGACGGTCAGAGGGCATGGAAATAAATTTTGCAACGTTCAGCAGGTAAAGTTAATCTCAATCCAGGCAGTTTTGATAGAAGATCCATTCCATCAGCAGCAATGGGACACTTCTCTGCGCCTCCTACACACATGCATATGCCATTAGGTTTTGTGCAAATCCCTTGAAAGGCCAGACAGACATTTTTCTCTCTCTCTCCAAAATAAATCGGCACCTGCAAGAGAGTGAATTTTGGTGCTTTTTGGATGGAGCGCCGTTCAACAAGAAATTCAAGCTTGAATCTTTAGATGCTTTGGGGCAAATATCGATTGGGTAAGAGAGCCAGCCTGATGTATCAATGTTGGACTTAAACTCTAGGAGAAGAAGATTCGAATTTCCATTCCCCAATAGGAACACACTCACACTCACTCTCTCAGCCTTACATGAAGACAATGGCAAACCTCCTCTATAAAAAAGCTTACCAAAGAAGCCCTTAGGGGAGGACCAGCCTAAGTTTGGACTTAGAAGCTAAGTAAGGTCAGCCCTGGTTTTGACTTGAGTAGGAGACCACCAATGGATATCAGGCTTTATCTCAGAGGAAGGAACTGGCAAAAGCACCTCTGAGCATCTCTTGCCTAAGAAAACCCTACAAAATCCATGGGGTCCTCATATGTCAACATGCGACTTGAAGGCCCATATGCACACCCGTTTGTCCCAGTTGTCCATCCTTGTCTTAGATGGCAATGTGAACTGGGATTGACTGAAAAGCCAAACATGTTTGTCTGCTTCAAGCCAACCCAAAGCTAATAGAGGTTTGTTTCTAAATAAATAAATAAATAAATAACTCCCCTTACCTTCCTGTGTCATAAAAGAGGAACACACCACATGGAAGGGCAAGTAATTACTCTTCATGAAACCCCAGAACTCATTTCCCATTTTGCAAAGATGTTTTGGAGGGCCTCGGAGTTCTGCTTGAAGACACATTTTGTCAGGTCCTATAATTGATGCATCTTCCCATCAAGTCAGGCTCCCCAGCTTAGTCCCTGGGGCTTTTAAACAGGGAAGATCTATTGTCGATCTGGCATGCAAGTCTTGGGTAGTTGAGGGAAACTTAATGAAACCCTTGGTGCTGCCCATTGTCAGAGGAGTTGCAAGAACACATCTGCAAAATGGATGTTGCTAAAGGATTCCCATGCCTGTGGGGTTTTAATGGAGCTCTCCATGGTCCTGAATCCAGCCTCCAAAGATGTTCAGCACCCAGGAGACTTCCTTTTGAGAGTCAATGTTATGTAGTGGTTTGAGTGTTGGACTATTACTCTGGAGACCAAGGTCCGATTTCTCACTTGGCCAAGAAATCCACTGGGTGACCTTGGGCAAGTCACATGCTCTCAGCCTCAGAGGAAAGCAATAGCAAACCTCCTCAGAACAAATCATGCCAAGAAAACCCCAGGATAGGTTCGCCTTTGGGTTACCATAAGTCGGAAAAACACCTTGAAGGCACACAACAACAACAACAACAGACCTCCTTTAAACCTAGCCAAACCCCAGCATGGACTTCACAAGACCAGCCACCATTGTCTTGTGATTTATCTTCTTCACCAAAGTTAGAGGTTGTGCATGCCATGCCATCTTCAACTGCAAGTCCTGTTTTTGCTTCTTCTTCTTCTTCTTTTTTGCACAGTGGATGTCTGGCTGAAGAGCACTCAGTGTGTATGTGTGTTTGTGCATAGTGTCAAGTTGGTTTTCATCCACTATATGCTAGGGCTTTCTTGGTCAGATGTCTTCAAGGGGGCTTGCCATTGCCTTCCTCTGAGGCTAAGAGATTGTGACTTGCCCAAAGGTGAGCAGGGATTTGAACCCAGGCTTCCCAGAGTCTTTGTCTAATACTCAACCTACTGCACCACACTAGGTTTTGTGTATTTCTGCACTGCAGAAATAATCCAGTTTGACACTGCTTTAAGTACCATGGCTCAGTGCTATGGAAAACTGGGAACTGTCATTTTGTGAAACATGTAGCCTGCTCTGTCAGAGAGCTCAGGTGCCACAACAAACTACCAATCCCAGGAGTCCATAGCATTGGGCGATGGCAGTTAAAGTGGTATCAAACCGGATTATTTCTGCAGTGAGGATGCAGCCTCATGCAATCCGCCAAACCTCTATGGTCAGTGGTCATATAAAACTCTTTCCTTCTCTATCCAGTCTCTCTTTTCTAAAGGATCTGCAAAATGCCTTGAAGGCACTATAGATATCCCTGCAATGCAATGCCATGCCAGGTATTATGAGATGTACACCTAGGCCTCAAATTCAAACAGTGAGAGTCTTTGGGACTTGCCTTCCTTCCCTGATGAAGTTTGGAACCATTTCAGTTAATTGGGATATTTTGCAAAAGAGTTAACCATCTTCCCTATTTGTCTTTCACTGGGACAGGTAGTTTGTCAACAATGGGAAACAAGAAAAGATCTCTCCTGCTGTGGATCCCACTGAAACCTCAAAAAAACATTTAAATCCCATTAAAGAACTCCCTGACCAGAAGGGAAGTAGACTTAATTGGGAGTCAACATGCATTTTAAACCTCGTCTTTCGGGGTGGGTTGGGGGGCTTAGGGCCCAAACATGATTAACAGAAATCTCTCTCTACAGCTCTACAAGGGATAATTAAATTGTAAATGTTGGCTTTGTTTGCCAAATGAGAAACAATATTTTGTACGGCAGGTTTCCCCCTGCTCCGACACACACACACACACACACACAGAGTCTAGATAAATATAATTAGGTAATGGATGGTGGTTTGTTAGCATTTTATTACATGTGTTTGCAAGGGCATTAAGAGGAATCACAATGAGCACAACAAATATTATAGGGATCCAGATTTCCAAGGGTGGGAAACGTGCCTTTCCTTGATCACAAAAAAGGACCCAGGCATGCGTTCGAACAAATTAACTCTTCTCTTATTTGGAACAAAAACTCTCACACACACACACCCTTCAACATTTTGCAGATTTATATATGCTAATAGCTAATTTCCCATTGTTATTAGTTACCCAGTGGTGCTGAGAGGCATGTTTGCATTCAGGCAACCAAAAAGGCTAGGATTGCACCCATTATAGAGATGGGGAAATAAAGTCTAGGGGTCAGCCTTGGTTGGGTGGCCCAAGGAGACTCTGGACTGACAACAAAAGCCATAAACCCCTATTGAAGAAG